TATATATATATATATATATATATATATTTCCCATTCACCATTAAAAATTATGTGCTTGAACATGTAATGAAACAATTGTCATTCACCACATGCCACTTTTAGAGCTTATTTCTATTCTATAAAGTGTTAATATGCACAATTACACTGGCCTTTACCAATTTCTCAAAATGAGTATAGAGGCATAGATAGCCAGGGTAGGTGGGGCTAAATCTAGGCATATCGATCACATAATTTTTCAGCTTTTATATATAATAAACTTATTATGTAGCATTTAATAAAAAAATAAAACTTCTATAAATGCTACTACATTTTATTTGATTTAATGACCATTTTATAAAAAATTTAGATCAATTTCAGCTTTTAAATTCATTCCCCCACCCCAAAAACAATTTCTGCCTCTGAGTGGAAAACTTGGCTATGGCACTGAATGAGTAGTTTATACACACAACTGTTGCACAAAAACAAGATCATGATTTAACAGGAAAATTTTGTTTGTGATTAAATACAACTAGAACAGTATTAAGATGCAGTAAATAGGCATTTTTGAATTTAGACATGACAATAATTACTTTAAAAGTATTACAATTAAATTCAGCAGATTCTATCCTTAAAAAACATTCTTCAATATACAAATATTGCAAATCTGTTCCTACATCTCATATATAATTTTGGGGATGGGACAGTTAAACCACAAGTGGAAAAACTGTGGCAAAGTTTATATATATTGTTATGGTTCAGACTTGTGAAGTTAAATAACAATCTATCATTACTCCTGTTGCTAAATAAAAACATTTTAATCAATCTACATTGAATTATTATTATAATGTTGTCACAAAATGGAGTATTTAATTATAACTAGCTGAGAGTACCTGTTCAGGAAGCAAAAATTGTATAAAGAACAATGTTAGATAACTTTCTCCTTCCTTCTTTCTTGTATTAAATTCTTAATGATCTTATTAGATGCTAATTGCATCCTAACTAATTAGATCTTTATACTCAAAGTAAATAGTTTATAAAACAAAGTGAAAACGTGCCCTATTTTAGGAAGTTTTTTTATCCCTCTTTTAAACAAAAATCATAAAACAGTTTCCAGTTACCACAGAAATAATTACAGTACCTAAGCCAGCCAACTATGGATGATGTAAGCCAAAAATCTAAAAAAAAAAGGGAGGGAATGTGCTCTATTTTAAGGGCCTTTTCCTCCCTTCTCAAGCAAATTTCCTAAAACAAAGTAGTCCACATATACTATTGAACAGCTTTCAGTTACTATCCAAAAAATTATGGTGACCAGGCCAGCCAACTATGGATGGTAGAAAACACAAAAATAAAAAAAAAAGTGGAAATGCTACCCTATTTTTCATGGGCTTTTTACCCCCCCCCCTTTAGCCAAATAACCCTTAAACAAAATGGTCCATGTATTTCATCAAACAACTTCTAGCTACCACATCAAACATTACAGTAAGTCAAATCAGCCAGCCAACACACACAAAAGATCACCTTTATAATAAGATAATATTTAAAACTAATAAAATAGGATATCACTGATGGGAAATAGGAATCATTTGAGTATTTTCATAGCACATTTTCATGTTGTACTGAATTTTAAAAAAAGGCAAAACATATTACACACATTCATTACATAACTACAAATATAGAAAAACAAAAAACAGCTTCTGCACATAACTAAGAAACATCACACAGAATAACTTCACTACTAGCTATTTTGACAATAAAAATGCCTCACCTATCTAAGGGTGTACAGATCGAGCTTGAAAAATTGTATTGGTCTGTCATATCACTATAGTTAAAACTGTTATATTATTAATCACTTTATTACCAAGCATTAGATTTAATATGTGTAGATAGTAAACTTAGGATACAGTCCCATCTACAATTACCCACTTATGTTTTTAGATATTTTCAATATTTAAGAGAGAAAGTTATGTGGCTACAGTACATCACACTAACAAACTATAAATCATTACAAATATATAATTTTCTGGCTACAGTAAATCATACTATGTACCATCCTTCATTACAGAAACATAATTACCTGGTTGCAGTTAATAATAATTATCTAGCTACAAAACATCACTATAATGAACCACCAATCACTGCAGAGATATAATTATCTGGCTGCAGTATATCACACTAATTAACCACCAGTCTTAACAGAGATATTATTACCTGGCTAAGTACATCATTTTATGAACCATCAATAATTTCAAGAGATATAATTGTTTGGCTAAATACATCACCCTAACAAATCACCAATCAATCATCAAATTAACAAACCAAGTCTGTAAAGTCATAGTAAGTACTTGGCATTTCAGCCTAATGACTACCTTAAGAGGTGTAACAAACCTTTGGAAAACATACTATTTCATCAAACAGGTAAATATGGCAAAGTAAAACAATCAAAAACAGAAAAACAAAACTTTATGAAATCAACAGATTCAACCTTTTCCTACCATAGAGAAAATACAATGACATGTCATACTGCACTATGCAGCTTTCCTTCCCTAAAATCTAATACTCTTGTGTTGTCTTAAAAAATAATAATGAATTACATACACTTAAAGAATAAATATAACTGATGAAAACAAAACCAGTTTGAAAAAGCATCAGACAATTAGCAAATCACAAACCAAATCTAAAAAATGCTCAGTGAATTATAAGGATCAAAATTTTTGTTCAATTTTCAAAATATTTTAAGAAAATTGGTATGAAGTAGCATATTTTGAATTAGTTTCCACACAAAAAAAGTTAAAATGATATTAAATCTTTTGTATGTTAAAACTAAAACTTTTATTTAATGAGGCTTATATGTGTAGTAGGAGTTAATGTATTTGGTACATATGTAGATCCCCACATGTCAATAGATGATAACAAGTCCATTAAGTACCAAGAATGCTTAATTTTGTAAAACTCAATTCAGAAGGAAACAATACAAATTACCCCGTATGTTATGGTAAAGCACTGTTTGTAGAAAGTACAACTACACAAATTAGTTTTATTAGTATACTGAGTTAACTGTTAACATTATGTGCATGGGTCAAAGTGCACAAGTCATCCAACATGGTATTTGATTTTAGAGTTATCAACTGTTCATTTTACCTTACACTGCAGATTTAGTAACAGTTCATGGTAGAGGAGAGTAAATGTCAGATACAACACATATGGATACAAAGAAAACTGTAGATATACATTTTGGAGGTTCTACAGGTTATGAAAATTTTACAATGGACAAAAGTACACTTATTCTTCACTTAAACATCACCTTGCATTCCAACTTGTCAGAGTCAGATCAACATCATCAATTCATAGACATATCTCAATTATTAATACTTTTGTTAACACATCTGATTTTCTTATGCACAACAAATTTGTATGTATTACTAAAAGCTTGTCACATTTTGTGTAGATACACACAGTAAATTTTGAATTACAGTCAATATTCCTTCACCACTGGGTCAACCCCATGCCAGTTTAATTAACCTAAGGACACAGAAAGACTAGAACTGAAGCAAATATTTCAATAATTAAGTTGTTCAATTGAGAAATAAATTATATCTGATTCATATTAAAGAGATAATTAAATGGTTAAGAAATCTTGCACTAGAAAGATCTCCAAACAACTTCCATTTTTGCTAGCTAATAGTCAAACTAAATAACACTATATAAACTGCAAGTAGGAGTGTTATGATATGTTTAAGTATGATCCTTTCCCCAGGGCAATATGTTGTACTTAGAACATGTTTTAATTCACAACCATAATGAAAAGTCTGAGTAAAACCTACAAAAATTAACTAGTAATAAACAGTGCTAAGATTTCTTGTTATTATGAAGTTGAACTGTAAAACAATTTTCATACACACTCATCTTGACAATTGACAATGAAGTTCCATTATGCACATGATAGCACAAAAACATGTAGAACCAAAACAGGCAACATAAATTACTAAAAAAACTCAATGGTTGTGAATAGTGGACCCACTGAAAGTGCTATAATTTAATATAATTTTTAATATGCTTCCCTATATAGAAAGTGTAAAAAACTGTACTGTAATGAACTAATTAGAACTTGCATTATTTTCCTTTATAAATACAAACATAACAGAGTATGTTCTGTTACATATACTGCAACATGTTCACAAATGAAAGTTAAAAACACTGATTTTAATGCATATCTGTCAGGATTACGTAACTTGTAACATGAAGTTCCAATACTTCCATCATCACTGAACTGTTTAGAAATATAAATTATGGCTTTATGAACATTTAAAATTTATAGTTTTTAACAGAGCTATTTATTTTCCAATGAATAGTGGTAGAGCATTTCTGTGATGTGTATCCTATTGCTGGACAAAATTTCTGCCCAATACCAATGAATTGATTCACACTCGTCTGCCAGGCCAACAAAAATCCATAAGTGAAACATTGTTCATTACTGCTACATCTATTCAGTATTTACTAAATGAAGCTATTTTTGACAAATATTACAAGCGTGAAACAAACTATAATAGCCATAGACTTACCCTTCTATTAATCATGCTGAACTGTGACTTTCTACAGTGCATACATGTTGTGGCATCACCATCTGGAACCCACACTGCTGCATGTTCAGTAGACTGCTTCTTTCCAGCTATTTTAAAATATAAAGTGGTCAGAGCTTCACAATTTCATTTAATCACCTGACTTGAGGTAGAAAGTGGTCAGAGCTTCACAACCTTATCTAATCACATGACTTGAGGTAAAAAGTGGTCAGAGCTTCACAACCTTATCTAATCACATGACTTGAGGTAAAAAGTGGTCAGAGCTTCACAACCTTATCTAATCACCT